TCGCTGCCTGCCGTCCTGCTCGCTGCACTCTCACTCTGCAAGAGACAAACCTGAGTCTGTGTCGATGGAAGGAGCAGCCGTGGTACCACAGTACCCAAGAAAAACTCCTGCTTGCAGTTCCCCTGCAATGCCTGCACACTGCTGGAGCTCTTTATAAAGTGCTGCTTCTCCCCAGTGATCCTGGGGAGCTCTGTGAGGACAGCCCAGTGGGGATCAGAGGGTGTATTTAATGTTTCTGCACTGCAGCTCTGGGAAGGAGGGATTTCCTCCTCCCAAGGAGAGTGGATCCTTTTTCCATAGCCACCCAGTCTGGTATCACTGTGTTTTCTGCCATGAATCTCTCTGTAGGTCTTTCCCACGGGGATAGAAATAAGGGTGATGCTCACCAAGACAGATGGATTCTGTCCCAGTTTGGGGAAAAATGCATAAAGAAAAGATGACAGGAGAGAAAGAGACTAGAATGCGAGGGGGCCTCCAGGTAATGAAGTTAATTGGATATGGTGATTTAAATTGAACGTGCATGTAAGGGTTGTCATTAACTTCCTCACAGACATGTCTGTGATTTAAGGGAAAGATATGTAATGGGATTACTGTTTCACTTTAATTTCAAAGGGAGGACTTCCCACATGGAGAGCAGTGTGCCCCATCAGCCTGTGCTGTCCCTGAGCTCCTCATGTCCTCCTGAATGTGAGAATAGGGGATGCCCAGATGGGAACTGGGGTGCTACATGGAGGGGAACAGGCAGTGCTGCATTGGGGTGCTGCCTGGTGGTGTGAGCACAGCCCCATGCAACAGATCTGCTATGAGTTCACTGTGCAATCCCCAGCAAATCTCCACTTCCCTCTGCTTTATCAATGATGTGCAAGTGGCTCTGACCCAGTCCCAGGGCATCCCAAAGCATCCCAATGCCAGCAGTGCTCACTGGCAGCTGAAGAGGTACTTCACATGCAGAACAATTTCATAAAGGGCCTGAAGGGCTCTTGAAAACTTCTCATCTAGAGATGATGTGCAGTTTCTGTTCTGGGTTCTCCCCTTCTGCAGCCTGCTGTGCCTGTTCTGCCTCTGTTGTGGCAGAGGCACCAGCATGGGCTGTTGGGTGCATTGATGCCACGAGGAAGTGTGCTCCATCCGAGCATCTCTCCTCATCATTTGGATGTGGTTGTGTACAGCCCAGCTTAATTAAACTGGATTAGGAAACATAAATCCCTTCCACAAAGATGATTTGGTGGAGGAGCACACAGAAGATCTGGGCTGGTATTTATTTATCTCATCCTGTCCTTGGGATCTTCGGCTCTGCTGAGTGTCTGGCTTGTAGGAACTGCCCTCGGTGCCAGGTTGGGGTAGGAGAAACCCTGCAGAACTGTGGATGGAGGAGGAAGGGGAGGACAGCCCAGACCTCACTGCTCCATCCTGTCGCTGAGCCCTGCTGCCAGCCTCAGTCCTGCAGAATTTCCAGCAAAAATCCATCCTGGAGCTTTACGGGCAGCTGTAATGGGAAATGCCTAACAGCCAAAACATGCAGCCTTAAATGACAAAAAAAAATGGCAATTCTGCAGAGATGCACCTTGGCCGTGAGGGCTGTTCTTGTTTTCTGTTTCTATTTCAGGCAGTAGATGCAGTAACGCTCCAGTGCGCCTTCCCAGAGCCGATGCAGCTCCAGGAGAAGCATCCATTTTATGCAAATGCAATGTTGTTTGATGGCATTTGCCCCGAAGGGTTGAAAATCCCAGCATGAAGGGAGCAGTCGGCAGGCTGCAGGGTTGGCTGGGCTTTGCGCTTTGTCACTGTAAAACACAAAGAGCCAATACCCCACTGGGGCTGGATGAGGTGATCTTAAAGGTCTTTTCCAACCCCAGTGATTCTCAGTGATCTCAGCAACCCTCCTGGTGTGCTCAGGGCTCCTGCAGGCTGTGGCATACGGAGAGGATTTGGGATCTGCCACCCAATCAACGCAACGGGTGACCTTGCATCCAGAATGGGGAATCAGTCCCTGCAGCCATGGAATACTGAGCACAAGCATTTCATCACGAGAGCCACCCTCATTGAAACGCTCATAATGAAAGCAGACAGGTAATTTAATCACTGAAAGGTTCCTACAAAGAGATTCGGTGTCTTCTAATGGAAGCCTGCTGGGAGGAACTGGAATGGAATCCAAATGTGGGTACCAGCTGGGCAGGGAGAATACCTGAAACTTCAGCACAATGTGGGCATGTGGGAGCTCCACGTTGAATTAGATCCCTGAATGGCTCATGCACTTATCACCGTGGGTGCTACTCTGCAACATGTACGTGACACAATATAGTATTTTGCTAATCTCCTAAGATAATGCAGAGCTTATGCCTGCAGGCTGCATTGTGGGGGTATTAGACACATAAATCTGCACTGTGCCTTTGAAGGACCGTGGTTTCCTGAATGGAAAAGTGTTCTGCTTCATCACGTGGGGCGTTCTGCTGGGCCTGGTGCTCTGAGCCAGTGCTGATACTGGGATTTGCAGATTATGTCGTTAGGCTCTTTTCAGGCCATATTTGTAAACATGCATCGAGAGCAGCTGAGGAAAATGCTCTGTCTGTCCCAGGTGACTTCTCCAATTCACACCTGAATTGTGAGCCCGTGTTCTGCCCTCCTGTCTCCTGACAGTGAGCACAACTCTTGTCCTGAACACCTTTGGTTTGCGTTGCCAGCACTGCAGGCATCTCCCTGCACCCACTGCTCACTGTTGTGCTGCACTCACTCATTTCTGCACAGCCCAGTGCTGCTTCCCCTGTGATTTTCTCTCATGCCTCTTCATCCTGGTTGTACTGCAAGGAAGGGCTGTGGGGCCGCAGAGAAGAATGGCTGCCCTCAGCCCAGCCCCATCCTGCATCTCCCATCGGGTTGGGATCGTGATGCTGGGTCAGCTTTGCTCCCCAGGCACTCAGAAGTGAGCACTTCCCTCTCTCCTCCAAAACCTCAGACCTTTAAAAAGAGCAGCTCTAGGGTCCGTTTCATCACCCTTACCCTTTATCTTGTTGGTGTCTGTGGCACCATGTTTACTAGTATGTATTTAGTGCCAGGAAGACACCTGTAAGGTTGGCACAGGGATTATTTCTGCCTCCAGACGCCAACGAGAAGTTTCCTGCTGCAGAGATGATCCCTTTCTTCTTCCGCATGCACAGGAATCATCCTTCTTCTCGTCTGACATCATCATCTGTTGTCATGGAAACCGAACTCTCAGGAAGAGAGGCAGTGAAACACCCCAGCATCAGCACCTCCTCCTATTGCCCGGGCACTGTGTGGGGTGCTCACAGCTGGAGCTGCTGGGCTCACAGCTGGATGCACAGCGATGCAGGGTGCACTGCCAGTGCCTGGCCATGGGATGGGGCAGAGCCAGGCAGGATGCCCCATAGAGCCTGGACATTCAGGCTCCAGCCCTGACCGCAGCTCCTGGTTGGAATGGGACTGCATGAGGCTCATCCGGTGGTATCTCTCTTCATTAGCCCTGTCTGACCTCATTACTAGAAAGAAGCTCAACGTAACGAGCTGCCAGTGACCCCAAGGGAGCTCTGGAAAGCAGTTGTTTTGTACAAAGGTTGCTGATCCTTTGTGTCCGCAGCTTCCATTCCCATCTGGCTGCTAATCAGGAGTTTGCATGGAAGCAGCTGACTCTGGCAGTGCTGTTTGTTCCTCAGGTGACTTCATGGCATTGTCCCTGTGTCCCTGGGTTGGTGCAGGATTGTGGTGGTGCCCCAACAAGGTTTGCAGGTCCAAACCACCTCTGGTTCCCAGCAGCTCGGGAAGGGACTGAGGTGTCCCCATTGGCACAGGTGCAACTGAAGCAGGATGTGACCCTCTTTATTTGGATTTTGCTGTCTGAGTTCTCAGGGCTTTTGAGTCGGAAGTGTCATGGGTGCAAAGCCAGCTCTCCCTTTGCTCACATTCCCGTGCCCTTCTTTTGTGTCGTGGAAAAATCAGGTAAGGAAGGAGGAAAGAAATGCAGAAACCAAACCCAGCTGTGTACCCCGTGTCTCTCTGTGTGTCGACAGGCATCAGCAGGGCTTCCTAGAAGAGGGTTTATTTAGAGCAGGGGTTCAGTGGAGCCCCTCTGTGTGTGTGTGTGAGGATATTAGTGTGTTTCCTGCTGGAGTGGCACCTCTGTGACATCAGGCTCTGCCTTAAGCAGTCCTAGCAGCCCCCTCCCAGCTCTGCAGCCTCGGGGTCACCGCATGGCACCAGCCTGGCACGTGGCACACAGCCAGCATCTGCAGCACTGCCAGCACCGTGTTGCAATCCAAGGGCTGTTCAAATATGCAAATCCTGGTAGGAAAGACAATGTAAACTGTTTGTTTCTCCTCCTCCCTTTCCCCTCGTGCAGCCCCCAAGGCCATCAATTATTAACTTTTGGAGGAGACGGCACGTTCCTGGCGGAGCTGGGGATTGTCACAGCGTGGGCAGAGCTCTGCAGGCATGGAGCTGGCTGCTGGAGGTGTGGGACCTGCAGCTGTGGGGCTTGGCAGCTGTATGGCTGTGTTAGCACTCTGCTTGCCTGGGAAGAACGGCATGGCAGTGACATCTGCCTGGGGTTGGGCAGAGGTGGTGTCTTAGGAGGCTTCTGTGGCATTGTCTAAGTCTTGTTCCTTATGCATCTGGAGAGGAACCATCTCTGCAGTAATCTGGTTAGGCTGTGGAGTGCTCCAGCTCAGGAGCTGACTTGCAGTTGCATTTGGTGACTGCAGTCGTGGCACGTGGGTGATCTGTGCGCTCACCTCGCAGCACAGAGCTTGCTCCTTCATTCTCTTGCGATGGGGAAATGACTTCAGATCCCGTGGAGAAAGAGCCTCTGCTCCGACTCCTGCATGCACTCTGCTTGCCAGCTCCTCGCTCTGCCTCCAGGTCCCAAGCTGAGGGTTGGAATGAGATCCTTTTTCTCATTTTGTCCTCTTCCTCTTCCCCTCCACCCCCCGAAGTAAAATCTGCATTTGGCTGCTATGAAATCACCTGCAATGTGGTTGTGCTTCTTCCAGATCCGAGCAGATGGCCCTCCCCATGGTGGAATTCAGTATGAGATGGTGACAGTTTTCAAGGACGGGAGCCCGGTGCTCCGGGACATGGCTTTCTCCATTGACCACAAGTTCCTGTACGTGATGTCGGAGCGGCAGGTAAGGACCCAGGGGGCTGAGCTGTGTGATCCCCCACTGCAGAGCTCAGCTTCAGCTGCCTCTGCCTGGAGGTTGTCCTCTGCACACATGGAGGATGGCTCTCTGCTGGTTTATTGCTGTCTGCAAGTATTGGAAACTGAGCTGGGCTGCTGCAGGGGAAATGTGGTTTGGGGATGGGAACCATCGATGATCGGATAATGAGCTCCTGAGCTGCTGGCGTGGCTGCCTGTTCCCTGCAGTGAGCTTGGCAGGCTGCAGTTTTGCGTAGCTTTATCCGAGCATCCTTTGTGATGGCTTTATTTTTTGATCTACCCATATATTTTAAGTTTTGGGGAGTAAGGAAGGTGAGCACAGAGTTGAGACTGAGTGTGGTGCAAGCAGCTGCCGTGCAGGTAGCGCTGAGCCTGTGCTGTGCCATCATTGCTGTGCCATCATCACTGTGACACCATCGTTGTGCCACCATAACCCTATCACTGTGCCATGGTCACCATGCCACCATTGCCATGCCACCATCACCTTGCCACCATCACTATGCCACCATCACCATGCCACCATCACCATGCCTCCATCACCATGCCACCATTACCATGCCACCATTGCCATGCCACCATCACCTTGCCAACATCACTATGCCACCATCACCATCCCACCATTGCCATGCCACCATCACCATGCCACCATTACCATGCCACCATCACCTTGCCACTTTGGCTGGCTCAGCCCCCACTGGTGGCAGCCAACATCCTTTCTTGGCTCTGTGTGGTCATAAACAAGTTTTATCTTCCAATATTATACCATGATATTACGAGGAACATAACTTTAGTGTTTGCATAGCTCTTAAGGTAGGGGTGGTGTGAGTTGGAGGTTGCCAAACCCGAAGGCTGTAGAAAGCCAAACCAAAAAGATTACAGTGGAAATTTATGGCCAGCAGCACACGGGAGCCTGCAGCTTTGGGGAGCCAGAATGGTGTAAATAAGGCAGGACCTCAGCTGGAGCGCATCTCATCTGCACCATTCTCTGAGACAAAAACAACACCAGAACTCCCATGTGCTGAGCCAGACTTTTGGGTTCACTGACTGCTGAGCGTTTTATTGGCTGTTACTCACCACTGTGTAATTCAGATTTATAGAGCTGGTGCCTCGTGGGTGGTGGAGACAGGAGGAGGGTTACATCTGAGGACGTCTGGATGCCATTAAGTGGCGTTGCCTTGGGTTAACCCTGTGAGTTAACAGCCAGCTTTGCACTCCTGGTGCACGGAGACCTCCACCTGCTGCAGGAGGGACACAGGGAGCTGATGTGCTGAACTGTGTAACAAAAAGATGTGAGGAGAATTAGCAAAGAATGGAGTGCTCCTGGAATGCTGATTCCATGCACAGCCCTCGCCCCCTGGAGCTGCCCTCTGCCCCCTGGGAGCGTGTGCCATGGGCCCAGGAGCCCCCACACTGACACAGTGTGGATGTTGTCAGCCCCACTGAACCCCACTGCCCCAATTCTGGCAATGCTCAGCAAAATAGAGGGGGGGATGCTTTTCATTTATTCTGGAGTGCTCTGGCTGGAGCCTGATGGCTGCAGGGAGTCGGTACCACGAGGAGGAGAGAGGCCCAAGCTGAGGCTGTGAGCAGTGAGAAGTGCCCTTGGAAGCACTGAGAATGCATAGCTCAAATGTATTGTGCAGTCTGAAGATCTGGAATAAGATGGAATTCCGCCACGGTGAAGTGGCACCGGAGCAGCTGTGCTGAGTGTGAGCTGGGAAGGGCTGCCCACAGTCTGTGGTTTCTAAGGAAGAAATAGGATACGTGCCTATGGCAAAACTGATCTGATAAACACTGCATTTCTGTGGGATTTAGCAAGGAGATGTGCTCCCATGGCACAGACTGGGAGCAGTCCTGAGCTCCGTGCTGCTGTGGGGTAGGAAACAAACCATGGCATGGGTGCAGCGTTCTGCCTCGCACTGTGGTTGTGCTCAGAGCACACGGTGAGCTGTGATGTGCACACAGGTGCTTCCAGCACATCCGTGTCACTTCTGTGTTGATCCCACCTCCCTCCATGCTCGGAGCAACTCCGTGCTGAATGCAGAGGGAAAGCATTTGCTTCATCCCAAAATCTGGAGCTCAGTCCTTCCCCACTCCCCCTGGCTCCCATCCCAGCCCTGTCTGCTTCTCTCCAATTTATCTGCAGTCCTTTGGAGCTCTCCGTGAGCCTTTCATGTTCCATTGCCAACTCCTTCCAAATCAGAATATTTGACATTTGATTTTACTCCCACAAAGCACAGAAGCAACAGTTGCACAGTCTGGTCCCAGGAGGAGGGAGGGAGGAGGATAAAGAAACTTTGCTTCCATCCTCAGCACCAGTTCTTTAGCCGCATGATTTAGGAGTGCTCATTAGGAGCTTTCACAGGCTCTCTTGAAGCACCTTCAAATTCCTTTCATGGCAGAAGAGAAGTGATTCTGACCCCGACTATTTAAAGGAGACAGGCATTTCTCAGTGTTGCTCCAGCAAGCAAACACCATCCAGCCCACAAGCTGACAGGGCTTGAGCATCACGAGATGCTGCTGGAGCATCAGTGAGACTGCATGGGGCTGCCCCATGTGAAGCAAGGAGGGCCTTACAGACCCGTGTGCCTGCAGCTGGGCCCTGGGAGCCTTCCAGCAGCCCTGCAGCCCTCCCTCCTGCCTGTACATCCCCGTGGCTGTAGGGAAGAGCTGTCTCTCCGTCTGCTCTGCTAGCAGTGAAATATTTGCTTAGCAAATGCCCCCGTGTCGGGAGCTGCAGAGCTGCAGGAGTCTCTGGGGATGATTTGTTTCACCATTCCTTGTCCTGTGACCCCGTGCTGCGTAACTCCTGAGCAAAGGGTGTTGTGTTGGGCTGAGCTTTCTGGGTGCTGATGGAGGGGAGGGAGCTGCCAGGGTGATTTAAAAGAGTTTGGAATCAGAGTGAGGAAAGCAAAGAGCTCCATCAATTCTGGAGTAGAGGTGCTGTAAATACTGATGGTGCCCAGAAAAAAAGAGTGAGAAAACACGATAAAAAATGCAAGAGGTGTGGATAAAAGGGGATGGCTTCATCAAGAAGGACAAAAGAAGAAAAAAAAAAAGGGTGGATTAAATTTTTAACTGCATTGTCTGCTGGTCAACCACTGAGCTGAGCATCATTGCAGAGGGCAGGGCTGTGCTGCAGCACCTGCTTGTCCCACGCTCCTGCAACACGTGCAGCCATGCAGGGCTTATTTCACTTTCCTCCCTGTGGTCAATTAGCAATAATTAAGAAATGTAGGTACAAGCTTGCCTGGGATCATTAACCATACCTATAAGATAAGAAGGATGTGCTAATGAATGCCAGCTGACCAAAAGGCCGTGGTATTTCAGGGCTCTGAGGCTCAGGGACTGAAAGGACCTGCAGAGCTGTTGGGATGTACAGGCAGCCACCAGGAATCCGAAGGCGCAGAGCAAAGGGCAGACAGCTTTGAAGTAACACATACTTGAAAAGTAAACTTCCCTGCAAGAAGCAGTAAGAAACCACCCCTGTGTGAAAACTCAGCGTCAGGGGTCGCTGGGTTTGTTTTGGTAATGGGGTGCATTTCAGACGCTGCTCACACGGCTCTTTTCTTTCAAGTGCTTGCGAGGTTTGCGCGCAGGGTTTGTTTGTTTTGGGTTGGTTTTACTTTGTATTAAGTCTATTTTTTCCCCTGCCAGTCACAGCCACAGGGTTCCCATGTATGTGCTTCCCTTTGCGATTCCTCCCCATCCACAGACCTATTGTTTAATTTTCAGACGGGCAACCGCAGTCCTGAAATCCTTCCAGGATTTCCCTGCATGCACGTACACACACACACACTGATCCCCTGCTCAGAGCACTGGTGTGCATGGGGCAGCTGCAGTGCAGAGCAGCTGCTCTGATACCATGTGCTCCAGGTCTGCTTGCTGCTCGGGTTCCATGGGGGGTTGCATTGCTGTGCCCCCACCCCCTCATGCATCCTCCTGACTTTGTGCTGCAGCACAGAGGGGTGACCTATGGGTGCAACAGTGGCAGAGCCCCCCACCAAAGCAAGCTGGGACTTCTGATGTATGATGGACAAGCTGAAGCAATGCCATGCTGAGCTATGGTGGGTTTTGCCCCTGTTGGTCTCAGATGACCCCAGCAGGGCTGCAGCAGCACTCAGGGATGCAGCCAGAGCTCAATGTTCCTCTCTATCAGAGCTGTTTAAAAGTCTCCCCCTCCCTGTGCTGCTGTGGCCATCCCCCCAGCAGTGAGTCTGGTGAGGAGGGGAATGGTTCACACCGGGCACGAATAGAAAAGAAACATAACTCACAATATGGTGAGAGTAGCTCTGAAATGGCACAAATTATTCTACTTTATACTTTAATTAGTTTGAATTAGCAATGGGAATAGATGCATAAAATGATCCAGTGAAGGGTGAAATGGAAAAAGGGATACAGGTTAGAGTATCACTTTATTATTGTGAAGTTTGCAGGAAGAGAGAGCAGGCGATGAGCTGCTGCTCTGAGTGCTTGGCAGGGAGGTGGTGAGGACTGTGCTGCAGCACAGAGCCCAGGGCTGCTCCATCCCTGGTCAGGGGGCAGAGAGCTTTTTTCCCTTCAATGGTCTGAAAAGTACTGCAAAATCAGATTGGTTGGGCTTTATTATTTTCTGTTTCAATTCAAATCACGTGGGGAAGTACAGCTCTAAGCATGCTTTCTTGCAATAACACTGAAATGAGCAGGGCCAAAACACGCAGTCAGTTCCAGCCCAAAACCTCAGGACACACCAGCCCAGCCTGTGGGATCTCAGGGCCGTCCCAGTGGCACCACTTGAACAACAGCTCTGCATCTGGAAACCAAATTCCCACCAAAGCATTAGGAAAGCTTTCAAATAATCAGGGAAAAAAGAGTTCCTGCGGATTCCAGACAGCTTGGAAGTGATGCCTGTGCCCTGGGGGAGGTGGCTGTAATGGTGTTTCAAGCTGGGACTACACATAAAAGTTAAGGCTGGTTGCAAAGCAGAAA